TTTCAGAAGAGGTAGTTGTGAGTCGTATATATATATATATATATATTTATGCATTTATATTTTTCCAATATATATATATTATATATATATATATATATATATATATATATATATATATATATATATATATATATATATATATGTAGTATATGAATTCTACCGAATTGTTGGCATTAATCAATTCAAGGTTTGTTTTTTCAATTGATTAATTTTCTAATTAATTGATTAAAATTAATTAATTGATTACGTCCTACCTCGGGCAATTGGCTCTGTACGCTAAACGGACATTGGTATAATGCCAACAATTCGGTAAAATCTATACAGTATTTCCGAAAATATGGTCTTCCAACACATGAATGTATACATACATATATATACACATGTTAATTTCAATTCCTTGTGCTTTTGGACGTTTGGGTCATTGAATTCGTACATTTTTCGTGCCCCGAGTAAATTTTTTTTTCAAATTTTTCTTTTCCAGGCTGTTAAGCTTCCTTCCATTGGCAAAAAGGGGTAAGTATTGAATAATAAATAATATTCATAATAAGAAATGATATTAATAATAAATAATATTGATAATAAATAATATAATATTAATAACGATTAAAAGTGTGCCGGAAGTTCTATCTTATCTTAATGTTTAATCTGTTATGAGATTTTGTTTGGAGGAATTGGTTATGATGTGTTATTTATTTTATTTTTAATTGGCTTGTAGGATCATCGATAGACAATTTATTGAAGAGGAAGCCGAGTTGTCAGGTAATGATGATGATGATGATACTGAATATGAGGATGATGATGATGTTGAATGTGATATTTATTGCGACGAAAATGATGTCAATACCGAATATGATGATAGTTAATGCAACGAAAATTATGATGAAGATGATGACGACGGCGATGATGGTGATGATAATGTTATTTCATTCACGACGCAACGAATCAACAGATTCAGAAAATGAACGAGGCAAAGATGATGACGACGACGACGAAGAAGATGACGAAGACAATGACGTCATGGAGAGAGAGGAAGGTGATGATGACGATGTCGGTACGGAGGAAGAGCTCAGGAAACAAGTCCAGAAAGCTCATCTGTTAGTTGCATGTTGTCTTCGTTCTCATCTGTTTTTATCTATCCTCTTTGGTTCTTTGCTGCTTTTTATTATCGCTTTATTATCTATGCGTTTTTGTTCTTTGTAGCTGCTAAGATGATGATGATGATGATGATTTACGCTTCTTTTGTTGTACCTACTCTCATTTTTCCTCTCACTTCCATCGTTATTATCTCTCCAGAAAAATGGAGATAGATCAGGACAAGAGAGAGTTGCGCCTACTGCAAGAGCATCTATTGGAGGATGGAGATCTGTACGACGAAGGAATTGGCAGGATTAGGAGGTTCAGATGGAACAATACAGGTGTCTGTCTGTCTGTCTGTGTTTGTCAGTCTGTCTGTTTGTCTGTCTGTCTGTCTGTTTTTGTCTGTCTGTTTGTCGTTATCAAAGTGTGATTTTCGAATTCTTTTGCTTATTGCGGAATGTTTTTGCGTTTGAATTCACTTTTATTCTATTTCCTCTCCCAGAGCAGTACGACGGCGATGATGCCAACGACGGCTGGAGTGGGGCGGGCGGCGGTGGTGATGATGATGATGGCGGCGGTGCTGATGATGATGATGAAGTAAAGTGGAGGATCAATAGATTGGAGAGAGAGAAGTTTCTGCAGAAACACCAAGTTGTTATCATTTTATTTTATTTTTTTTTTGTTTATTGTTGTTTATTTAATGCTGTTATTATTATTATTATTATTATTATTGTTAATCTATTGTTAATTACCTCCAGGGTTATGATGATGATAACATGAGCGCTGGTGATAATAGTAGCCAACAAACAACGACGACGATGATGGCCGGCGACGACTCCCAGTCTATCTCGTTTGGTCAGAAAAAATTCAAGCTAAAGACATGTAAGATAATATTATATCATTTAGATTAATAATACTATTATTGTTATTTTTGTTATTATTGTTATTATTCGTTATTATTATTATTATTACGTTTTTTAAGTTTTTTTGTTTCCTAAGACAGCATTCGAAACGAGACAACCAACGCGAGGTACAGCTCTATTGCCGCCTGAGCTAACCTGACGCCTACTACTTGTTTCGAATGATTTGAATGAATGAACGAATAGATGAGTGAATGAATGAACAAATGAATGAATGAACGAATGAATGAATGGATGAATGAATGAATGAATGAATAAATTGAATGAAATAGCACCATTGGGGATAAGTTATGGTGAAATTTTTTTATCTTTTTCAAGTCTGCTCTAGTAACAGTAACTCTCAGTCCTCCTTGCCATCTGTCGAGACGAGAATGAAGAACAAATCATCATCATCATCTTCGAAACAGAAATCATCATCATCACAACTGCAATCATTATCATCAACGTCATCATTACCATCACCTCTCCTTGGTATCAACAAAGGCATTTCTTCATTCTTTAAAATCCCTGTGAGTTATTATTATTATTATTATTGTCATTTTTATTGTTAATACAGATATTAGTAGATTTTTTATGTGTGTATAGGTGTGTCTGTGTGTGTGTGTGTTTGTTTGTAGGTTAAAAATGAAATTTGCATCATTTGACACTAAAAATTTCTCAAAAAAAGGATCTTAAAAAAGTCGGCTCATTCTTGCACCGTCCTAAAGACACCTTAGCGAAATATTCAGTCGACCCATCGAGGAAAGGTTCCACTAACGGCCACAACGACAAAAAGGGGGGTCCACTAGGCGGTGCTGGTAGTGGTTGCACTAATTCCGGGACTCTGGTCTCTAGGAATTCGAGAAACTTTGTCTTTAGCACTATTTCAACTCACAATGAAAATAGTAATAATAGCTGCAGTGGTTTTGAGTTTAAAGGGGTAAGTTTTTTTTGCTGTGGTTTTACTGTTGTTGTTGTTATTGTTGTTGTTATTGTTATTTCTATTATTATTTTATTGTTACTCCGTTTGTACATTGTTTATACGACTGGCTGACAGTTCAAAAATGAACTTTATTGTTTTTGTAAAATTTATAAATTTATTATCATTAATTATGGTTATAAATATTGTAAAAACGTCAGCAAACAAACATACAAACACACCTACATACAAACATACACACGTACGTATATATACATACGTACGTACATACATACAAACGTACACTCATCACTGATTTGGTTTTAACATACATACGTACATGCATACATACAAAGACAAACAAACACATACACACATACATATACATATATACACACACAGACGGAAAAATCAAATGCACAACCGAAGAAAAAACAGAGAAGGATCAGGTTGGATAGTCCCCTGCCAGACAACAACTCAAACTCGTCATCGTTCAAAATGTTCAAATGCATCGACGAGTCTTCGCAATTCTAGTGTCTTTTTCATTTATTATTATTATTTATTATTATTATTATTTATTATTATTATTATTGTTTCAATTTTACTGATTCTTTTTCGATTTTAGAATAGTTAATGTTGTTATTATTC